GTAGTCACCCAGGTGTAAGGGATGCATGCTCTGATAATCTAGAAAGCCTGAAAAAAACCCTTGAGAGGATTTTAACTTCAGGTACGAAGACAGATTGGAGCCGTTCATCTGAAATAGGATTATTCCCCCCTTTTGGAAGGATTTGACATTTTAGCTGTCTTAATTCCAACTAAAGTTTCTGGAAGGACCAAAACCGCAAACCTGTTTGTCATCAGTCAGCATACCTTAGACCTGCACCTACTTGTAAAGTAACCTGATGAGAGGTGTAATCAGGTGCACAAACAACATTGAAAGTTCAATGGATCCCTCGGCTCATTCCTGCTACTGTTTTGGTTTAATATTTAGTTCAGTCTTATCTATGCGATCAGTTTTTCCTCTTCTTGTCATCTACTGAAAACATTCACGAAATATTATGAACCCATTAAGTTTTATCTGCAGAGCTTTGACAGGAGGCAAATAAAGTATAACAAATTACATGTGAGCATACAGTGGAATATTTAGCAGGAGCACCAAAAATGTTGTTGACAGGGGAGGAAATATCAGACAGTTGGACTTACATTAGTCTGGTGGACAATCCAGATCCAAGCTTATTTTAGTAGCTTGAATGAAAAAAAAAATCTGTCTATTTTTCAGGGACAATTTTTAGATGTTTCTTTATTCATATGTCAATGGTAGCTGCAGGACATTGTGGGATTGACTTGAATTAAACATACTTTGCTCAAGTTGACACAGGAAAATGTCAGCTGTAGACATCTGCGAAGCTTTGATGTCCTTTTAATAGTGTTTAGTAGTGACAACAAATGAGCTCTATATATTTAAGAACTATGCTGAGCTTTGGCTACAATACTTGTTATAAGTATAAACATGTTCTTGTATTTAGGATTCTTATGGTTTTGTATATTTACTTTATCAACCAGCCTTTTGTGTTTTTATTCATGAAGGCGTTTTGTAAAATGATGATGTGTCACTATAGTTTATGATAATAACCCTTATTTCTAATCAGAAAATAAAACATGAGGCTATCCAACTTGCATTTTACATTTGATTTTACTGAGGGAAACACATTATAATAAGCTTATTCAAAGGAATTAAAAAAAAACTACATTCAAAGCTCCTGTGAGGAGTTTCTAGCGTATTATGAAATAGACTTAAATGTTGTCTGATTTCTCTTTATGACTAAAAAGCAAACCAGACCGTCGGGGAGAAGATCGACTATTTCTCTGAATTTATTTTCATGCCTGTAACTTCTGCCAACAAGAAGGGGTCAGATGAGGGATTCACAACATGCAGCCGAAACAGCCTTTCTTTTTTTACATTTTCAACAACAAAGATTCACAGTGAGTGATGGACTGTTTATAGACAGCAGGATGAGAAAACACTGTATGCACTAGCTTGACATAACACATTGTCCACAGGGTTTCCAACTAAGATTTTTGTTTTGTTTTAAAGTCTTTGCAGGAGCTCTAATTGAAATGGTTAAAACAAATCCAAACCTACTGTTCAGATTACAAATCATTCCAACTCTGATAACTTTCTTTTTCTGTCGTTCAAGTTTTTCATTTTTGACGGTCAGAGTAACTAATTGCACTTGTAGAGCCAAGAAGTTTGTCAAAGGGCACACATCTAAACACATTTTTCAAAAGAATTTCAGGTTTTTAATTTCCTACTCTCAGCTGAATATGTTCCAACTACTGATTTGGCATTTAACTGAGCTGAACTCACTGGAATCTGATTGGCTCTAAGTTTACGCTCTATCCCTAAAATTATACCAGTCAAGTTTTTCTTTCTAGAGTTATAAGCCTGACTCTGAATCTCCATGGGAACTGATTTACTCACAAAAGAAAGAATGCTAATTGGAGGTTCAAGCTCTCATATTCGCACAAAACACATTGTGCTCCAAGCTTCATGCCAATCACACTGTCTTCATGACGTTGGATTCCTCTTTTTGTTGTACATTTTGCAGCAATAAATGATTGGAGATATCTAAACCCTGTCAGATATTTACAGTCAATTAAATGTATCCCAGGACAGCCCCTGTAGGCTCCACATTATGTTCCTGTGTTCTACATTCACCCCTGTCCACTCCTACTCTCGGCACTAATTGGACCAACACTTCCTCACACACTGACTGAACTGATGCTGTATATACACATGGGCATATGCTGCATTCATATTGTATCACACAAACACCAGCTGCTGAATGGAGAATGCTTGTCAAGCCTTGAAATAATAGGCAGAATATTAGGGATCTTTTTTCTGCAGGCTCTAGTTTCCACAACATTGGATGATTAAATGTGAGCAAAAAAGGAATAGTTGTATGCATGTGTTTATTGGTGAGACTTAAAGGCAGTTTAGCTTAGCATAAGAACTGCTCAAGAAACGGTTATTACATTTCCTTAAATGTTACACTATCCCCTCAAACAGGAAGTAGAAAAAGAAAAAGGTGTCCCATTAGCTCTTCTTTACTTTCTCTGATATGACGTGAACATGACATTGCTCTTTGCCCACAGTTTCCCAGCTTCACTGTCTCATTACCAGAGGTTAATGGAACAGGTGGACCTTCCCGCTTCCTTCGCCTGTTCAGCAGTCGAGCAGAGTGCTACCTTTGTTAAGTTTTTCACATTTACCTGCACTGAACCCGTCGCAGCACATTAGCACATCACATCAGCCCATTAGCTTGCCGCTGACTCTGTTTATTCAAAGTCATCATATTCGCAGAGTCTTCATGTCCATATGCCTGCCCTAAATTACAACAGGTCTATCAATTTTTCATGATTGTGCTGTCTACTAAACTTAACGTATGGCCCGCAGACAGACTCATTATGCATATTAATTAGAATGGAAATGACAGGACTATTATTCCTTCGGCTGGAGACAAATGAGAACAAAATTCTGATTTTAAAAAAGGACAATTTCATCCTTGTGTCTTTGGCAGATTATGGGAAACAAAGATTTAATGGCAACAACACAATGCTGCTTACAAATAAGCGTACGACATAAGCTGAATATAGCTTGAATATAGTAAGAGACAGTTAAAGATGCTCTGGGAAGAGCAGCAAGTGCATTGCAAATTTCTCTCTATTCTGCTTCCCCCCATGGCTATTAACATTATAGAGGGCAAAGCAGCTGGATCCAAAGGTTAATGTCCACACCATTAGAGAGCGACAGAGCATGCGTTTTATCCCTGTTGGTTTAATTAAATTACAGGGAACTCATAAAAAGGGGGATTTATCCCGCACATACAGTTACTGCAGTCTTAATGGGGCACCACCTTCCAGCACAGCTGATTTATCCCCCTCCCGTTTCAAAGTGGGTCGTCTTCTCGCGGAGTTTGTCATGGCCTACTTAACAATACAGGAACTGGTAATTAGATCATTTGTCAAGCCAGCTGATTGCTTGCTTGTTCTTTTCATGGTGTACAGGAGGAGACATCTCACATTTCACTGGGTCACTCTCAAAACTCATCAATCTTACCCTCAAGTAAACCGGAAATTTGGGAAGATTATGAACTCCTCTGCTCTCCATAATGATGTCATGAAGAGATATAAGCTTGTTAATTGTGAACAATGACATAAATCAAATCTTGATTGATAACTCACACATGTTTGACAATGGAGAAGCTGTGATTCCCTTCATTTCTGAGTGCTTGACTGTAATGTGTTTATGAATGGCACTGTGATCGATTGGTCCTGAAAATCTCGACTGTAAAACCTGCCCCTCAAAAATTAACATGAAGAACAAAATGGTGATTAGACACCCTCTAGTGGATGATCATTACAAAAACATCACTCCACAAACCTTGGCCCAAACTTTCTTTTATACTATACATAGCACATCAAAAGTTGAACCTATAAGGAAACTCCTCAAAGTGTGAATTTGAAAAACTACTATATTTAACAGTTCTACTTTTTCGACCAGCTTTCCTTTAGTTATATAACAGCATGTGTGCCAGGTCTCAGCTTTATAAATTAATACTTTTCTCTTTCTGTAGAATCCTAAAATGTACTTGTGATAACCAAAACCTTCTTGTGTGTTAGGAATTGTTTCATGTAAACTGTAACGCACTCTAACACAGGGTTGTACTTCAGCCCATGCTTTGTCCTGCAGGTGAGTGTCTGCTGTTAGAAGACACAACCTCTTGTTTCACATCTTGCAAGCTTTAATAGTTACAGTTATAATACATATTCTGACATGAAAAAAATGGCACAAATATACACAGCAGCAATCATTCACTTCGTAGAAATATACAAACTTTCTCAGAACAGTTGCCACATGGGATTCAACATTATTACAAGGATTCAAACTAACTGAGTTCCCTCTGATTTTTTTTCACAGGCTTGAATTCATCCTTTGGAAAATGCTCATTCTGCAAATAAATAACTGAATTTACCCGCTCATTCTCTTAGGATCTTTAAAAATGAATTCATGTAGTCTGTGCGACCCCCAACAGAATGCAGGGTAATGGAGAACTCATTTAGCATCTCGTTCAATTCAATGAATTACACATGCTTATAAAACAGATTATGTCAACACAGGCCATCATAAGTCAATTGAAATTGTTAAACTCAATCTAAGTGCAATCTACTGATGTTCATGGTTAACACATGGATGTAAATATTTATTAATGGATTGGACAGAAATATTTACTCACTGCCAATAAACCCAGAAACATGTGAGACCAACATGTCAAAATGTCAAACTGTACCTTTAAGAACCCAACCTAGTGACTCTGTGTCTTTCTCTCTTTCTGTCTTTCTTTCCGTAATACCATGCCATTATGAACGCTGCTTTATTCAGACATCACCCTCCATAAAGCCAAACAGTCCCTGAGGGATTGCAAAGAAACATTAAGTGCTCCAATCAATAGTTTGATTCGGTACAGAGGAGTCCTACATACATACATAATGCACCTCCACCAGTATGTGAATGTCACCCTGTCAAACTCATTATATCATTTAGCCTGTGCTGACCCTCCCTCATCAACATTTATTGGGCTGCTGCTAGCTTAGCCGCTTCAGTTTTCTATAAAAAGATGCTGCCATCAAAATGGCTGCAGCCCCTATCACAACGAGGATAGCGACAGCAATTCCCAGGCCAACAGACGCCGGCCTGCCATCAGACTGGCCACCAGACAGCGCTGTGCACAAATGAGAGTAATAGCATTATGGGACAACTGAAGACATTGTGACACACTGCAGTTAATGATTGCCGTTTAATTTTTGTAAGAATCTAATAAGGAGAAGTTTGTGAATGTTGCTGTTCATAAAGAAGTCAAGTCAACAAATGACGTACTTACCCTCTTCTTTGGAAAGAGCAGCTGCAAGAAGGATGAGAAGAGTCAGTGTTACATTTGAAGGAGATTATTTTACTAAACAAATATTAGTTCCCCTAACCCTATAAGCAAAATATTAGTGACACTGTATAGCAAAGTTTCAGGAGTAGGATCACGCCTCAACAACACCTCTTCTGCTGTTCCCATAAATTCCATCCTAACCCTCTCCTCCCCTTTCGTTCTCACAGTCCACACCCTTCCCTTTCACTTCTTTTCTACATTTCTTTCATTCCTCCTTTCCATAAAACCCTAGAGGGGGTTTGTCATGCCCAATAGTTATGGCTTCCCCAAACCAAATACAGCAAAACTTGCAACAACGCCTAACTCACTCAATCGAATTGTCAAATTGCGTCCTCTATTGCAGTTATAGAAGTACTGACGATTGGATTGTGTCACTTGCGAACACAGCCTCACTTTACTGTCTCCCCTACTTGTAGTATTTCTGCTACGCTATGCTAACTGGTTGCTAGCTGTGGCTTTATATTTACTGAGAACTATAGAAGAAGTGTGAGAATGGTATCAAAAGAGCAAACTGTTCAATAACTTGCCATTGACAAGTTTTAATGAAAGTTGCTGTGAGATATTTACTTTTTAATTCTCCTGGGTGCTGGCATTACAGTGTGCAGATCTTTTGCCTGACTCCCTCAAATTCTCAATGTCATCAGTAGAAATACACAAAGCAAACATACGGGTCTCTGTCTTGGCCTTTATTGGCACAGTGAGCACAGACGGCTCAGTGATGCTCTCCTGGACCACCGTGGTCTCCACACTCCTCTTCTTCCGGTTGCATTGCTGTGGATCAAACCAGACAGAGAGGCACAAGTTGAAGATCTGGCTTGGAATTATAAATGTGTTGACTTGAAATGCATGTGGTGCCTTGCTACCTTGAAGGTGCTGCAGGTGCTGCGCTCACAGAGTCGGGTGATGCAGTGCAGATAGTAGGTGGAGATAGTCTCATTTTGCTGCTCGATGAAGCGGAAAGCCGGGAAGAAGAAGCGTGCCTTTTGGCTATCCCCATTCTCCAGCATAGTGGTAAGTTGATCTTTGGAGCACCTTTCAATAAAAGGCGAACCTCACAAGTGCCCCATTTGCACATCACACGGATACATACAGGCAGTGTATTAATGGAAGAAAGACAGGGAGACTGAACTAAGACTAGGGCTCCCTTTGGATTTATGGTTAGCTCTGTTCACGTGTTGCATTAAGAAGACCTGTAGATATGTGTAAAGGTTTAAACGTAGAGCTGAAACCATCACCAAAGGGAATTTAGATTCCTGAAAGAAGTTCACTCGTTAAAATTAGAGCAGATGTCTAGCTGTGTTTTTCTGACTTACGAGACAAACAGATTGAATAAGGTGGAGTTGGAAGGCTGCACGTTGGTCGAGGCGTAGCACCGATCCAGGAGCACAAAGTACCTGTAGAGATAGAATGAGGTCCGAGTCAGAGACTCCAGGTCACAGGTGGAATCCTCAAATTTTACAATCTATCAAGACACAGCCATGAGGTCAGAGACGCAGAGAGATGGGAGGTTTTCATCTTGACATTCACTCAGGATTCCATTCATGGAGCCATTCATACTTAATTTTGTGATGTGAAAAGTGAATGTTTTAACCTTTACTTTTAATCCAAGTTGCATATTTATCGAATTTCCTGCATGGAAAAAATTGATCAATGACTGCAGTAGAGAGCACATTGTTTTGAGATGTGAACGTATAGAATATCATTGTTCATAATTTGTGTAAGGGTTGCTTTAGTTTCATAGTTTCATAGTTTCTAAAGACCATAACAAAGCTGCCATTGATTTTATCAGAAACATCATTTTTATAGGATCACTTTCTTCACTGGCTGCTTTTATAAATCTAACACTGAACTCTGCTCATGGTTTATGTAACGTTCTCATCAATGGCAACAGATTTCTTTGAAGATCAGTGTCTCAGACAGTGTGTGTTGGTCTTCATTTGACATCCTAATTATTATAAATATAAGGTAATCATAAATGTGTTTGTGAGCATGTACCTAAATCATGATGAGTACAGGTTTTCATTCTTGTTTTTTAATCTGAGTTTTTTTGGCCTCATCCAGTCACTAAAATTTGATTTCATCATTATTTCATTGAACAGACTTTATTTAAAAATATTATTTGACCTTTTTAGCAGTTATTGATGACAGGAAATGTGGGGAAGAGAGAGTTTTTGGGGATCAAAATGTATGAAACGTCCAAGGCCGGAAGACGAAGCTGTATCCAATGCGTTAAGGACTGTAGTCTCTGTATAAGAGGCGCCTGCTCTTCCCACTGAGCTAAGCCAGTGCTGCAACTTTTAAAAAAAGAGTAAATTCTACATCAACTAGCTGTTGGAGAAATGTGCAACTGAAATGAACATATTTAAGTAGTACAATAGTTATCTCTTTAACCTTTGTCTTTGAAGTGTGATGTATGAATCCGAGTCTGAACCAGTCAAGGAGAAAGATACTGTGTAATGTATATGGTTCTTACTGGGATGTCAGGTTGGATGCCTCCACCTGCACGTAGATGTTTGTTCTGAGTTCCACGCCCAGAGGTGGAATGACCAGGGGTGTGGTGTAATTTACATCCTGGCAGAGGAAGAGTGGGTAAAAAAAGAAAAGTGGAACTCTTTTAGAGGGAACTCAGTTAGTTTGTATACAATCTTTACATGAAATAATCTCCTCCAGTTACACTCATAGTCTGTGCCAGGCAGAAATAATGCTACGTATAGTGTTTGGGATGGGTGTCATGTGGCACCTTATACAGGGCCATGCTGAGGGTGCTGATGAAGCTCCCATTGTTGTCCTTCAGAGCAATGGAGGAGGATGACCTAAGAGGAAGAAAAGGGTGAGATCACACTTGGTACAGAAAGGAAATCTTAGAAGTCTTAATGTAATTTTTAACCTACATACTAAAACTTACACGTCCACCTGGGTGTTGTTAATGAGATACTCCAGTGGGTAAGCACAGGAATAGAAATACTTAAGCTCTGCATTGTAGGTGATCGTCCCCATGGTGGGGTCGAAGGATCGGATCACCCCGCTGACGTTCACCGTCTGGATGTTGGAGAAGTCTGAGAATATTCCCGTCCCCGGTGCACTCGTGGTCTGAGGAATTATTTAACAGAACCATGATTATTTAAAAAATGGTTAAAAATAAATGTTGGGCCGCACGTCTTTGGCATAGCAGGCAGCCGTGATGAAATCGGAGTGAGAGAAAGCGGAACAACTATCTGATGCTTCTCAGAAATGGAGACTGGTGGGATTGCGTATGTCTGTTACATGAAATTATGACTCATTTTTTCTTCTCTCAGTGCTTTCTTGTTCATTTAAAGGCAAAAAAAAGACACAGTGCCCATAGACACTGTGAGTTTCCTAAATCTGCTCAAAACTCTCCCCGCCTAAAGCACACAACTTCCAGAATCTCCCTCCCTTATGATTTTAAATTATGAAACTGAATTGATGCAATACTTACCATGAAGTTGCTCCCACAGGCGTTTCCCTCCCTGATGGGGAAGCGGAATCTCACTACAGGAGGGGCCACCGACGTGTCCAGCGTCCCCTGACAGTCCATGTTGTCCCGGATGCTGTTGAGGATCAGTAAGCTTCTGTTGTATCCGGTGTAAACAACGGGGCAGATTTGAATGGCCAGGTCGATGGCAGATGTGCCGCACACCACAGAGATATCAGTGTATTCTGATGGTGATAAGAAAGCTCTGTTATTAAGGGAATGTGATGTGATTTGCTTTTTACCTTGGTAGAATTATACTGTCTTAAATCTTGTTTAGGAGACACATTCAGATGGTAGAATTCTGGGAAAATTGAGAAAATGGCTCTGTGTGTATTGGCAAAGACATCAAATGAAAGCATGTCATTTCATCAAAAAAAGAAGAACCATGGTTAAGAAAACATCATCAATTACTTATTCATTGGGCAGGTTTGAAAATCTATTTTTGTTTCGCAAAACACATTTAGCAGCTCAATTAATACTCTTTCATCTGTGCTAAATAAATATCAGATGTAAAAATGAATCAATACGGCCTCCCTAAAGGTCCACATCTGAACTAAAATCAATATAACCTCTTTAGTCCTAAATAAATACAAGAGATTGAAGGTCAAAGCCATCTCACCAGGTCGTCTAGCGAATGCTCCACATTCAGATAAGGTGAGGGCCTCTCGGCCCGCAATACAAAGGGAGGTCAGGATGAGGAAGCTGAAATAAGCCATCTCACTGCTCTGCCTTCTGTGAAAGAGCTGAGGCAAACACAAGGATGTCAAGCACAGAAAATCCTAATAAATCCAGCACAAGGCAGAAGAAAAGAACATCTGTAGGTCCACTGAAGTGAAGCGTAAAAAGTCCAAATTTAGATGCTTAAACAAGCGCTGTCAGTCAATGGATTGCATCCTGGATCTTACCTCCTCAGTCTCGATGCTGCGTTTGGGTAACAGAGGAGCTGGATGTTTTATATATGGTGAACATGACCACTGTTTGGTCACAACACTGATGTAGGATTGGATGGAAACAAGGTCATTGCCATCTTTGGAGGAGCTGCCTCAGTTTGCGTGTAAACAATTCAGTTTTTGTGGCTCAGGTGCTCTGGTCATCTCCTGGAGGCAAGTGATGAAACCCAACACAGTCCTCTTCAAAGTTACATGTATAAACAACGTCCATAAGGCTTTGTCAGTGTGTATGAAATTCAGCCCCCTTCACCTAAGACTATGAAACTTAATAAACTACGAGTATGTTTGCTTTCTTTAAAGCAGGAACCTCACACATAATAGAGGAGAGGAGCCTGTTGTCTTCTGAGGTGTTTTAATCTGACCTGGATGACCCTGTATTGAGAACATTTATTAATTAATTACCTGTCATATGATGGCTTCAGATGATGATGATTATTGTGTGACATACTTGTATCAAGGAACATGTCAATCACATTGAGAATTTTCCTGACAGTTTTTATGTTCAAGCCTTGAAAAGTTTGCTACTTTTAAAGCGTAAACTGCACAACATTTCTGCAAGAATTTGTGTTTCATGCCATAAGAAAAAAAATATATAGTCCCATATATCCCAAGTTTGAGTTTTGACTTGAATGTCTGGAGAACAGTCAGAAACCTAATCTTGTCAGGTGAGCCACCTGGGAAGAGAAGGCACTTATTGGGGTCAAGTTGGAAGATGGGAGTTTCCACAAATCTTTTGTCAAAATGTATGACACCACATCGTCAAACACAGGACACTCTGCTATTGTCATGACGTGTTCACTTAAACATGTTAAGAGTCCTTCAGTACCAGGTGCACACATTTATTCCATCTGTTTAAAAAACAACAACAACAACATTTTTCATGGTCTTGACTTTCCTGAAGCTTCCTTTCGAGGTTGGAAGGCCAGTTTGATCAATTATTGTTGACATTAAACCGAGAAGACAGATGATAGCATTCATTCCTCTCATTCCAGTTATCTGTGGTCATTTAGCACGCAGAATACATCACAAAATGACTGTTGAAATGAAGGATTAGAGTGATAAAGAGCGGTGAGAGCAGCAGAGACCTGCGGGTCACAAAATCAGCCGTAGAGACCCACACGTGAGATGCAGCTGCCGCCGAAAGACATTTATATAGGTCACAGGATTACAAATCAATACCACACAAAAATTGAGAGATTAATTCTTGCAGGCTTCATATGTACCTGGTATTTTCTTTATTTTCCTGGAGATTGGACACCCTCAAGGCAGTTACATTCGGAAACTTCTCATACAGACAACCGAACCAAGTTGCTTGAATATGATGATACTGTACAGGTAATCCATTTTGTTTTTTTAATGGTTTATTTTACTTGACATAATATCCCTATCACCAAAAGAGGATTTTGCCTGACAGTTGATATGGTCATAAATAATTGTCTAGATTTTCATTTATAATGCACTTTTTTAAAATATCTTTTGTCTAAATTAAAATCTCTCTCATGTTAATGTTGAGCTTGACAGTTTGTTCTTGACCTTCAAATCCGCAGCTGACATCTCAACCAAAAGTGTACACGTGAGGAATCTCTTTTCCCCTCCTCTTTCCTCTTTCTGTGTTTTCTTGTTTGTGTGTTCATATGGAACTGGTTGTGGATCCACACACTTATAGCCAACAATCAAGCTGAGGATAAAAGCTCAGCTTTTAGTCTTCTACTCATCACCAGATTGTCCATTTACCCAGCGTGACATTCAGCTCAGGCTCTTATTTGAAATCATTTTTTAAAATCTAGTTTCATCTTGCTAATCATGTCTTTACCTGGGTTCAGATTTCTGTGCCACCTGTAACCCAGCGCCCAGCTCCAGGATCCCATCATTCACAACCAAGTCAGCCTCTGACCTCAAATTAACTCTGGAAATGTAGACACTGCAACCACACTCTCTCACGCCTCAGACATCCCAGCTAGTATCGCCTTTACAATGTCAGACTTGTTACAATAAGCACTCCTTTAACCTTACTTTATAACCGGCTGAATTTGTTTCAACAGTACTAGCTTGTTCCAAACCTTTCAAACAGACAACAACATCTTTGAAACTTTGTCATTGCAAAAAAAGCCGGTTGACATTACTTTATATTGGCTAATTAAACATAAAAAAGTAATCGGAAGTAGTTAATAAAAATCTGAAAATTTTAAATTTAAATTATTCCTTTGCTGAGAGTTAGCTGACAAGATTGCTAATCCAAGAGTTAGCTAAACATTGAAATCTGTATGTAGAGTTATTAGCTTTAGGAGATGCTAAGCTTAGTATAAGGACTGGAAACAAGGAGGGAATGCTAGACTGGATCTTTCCAAAGATACATTTACTTTACAGAGTTTGATGTTACTGTATTCTAGATCTTTCACAGCTTTATGATTGCTATAACCTTTCCCTTTTGCTGCGTTTTTACTTTCTTTACATCTCTGGTCCCCTTGTTCTTGGGTCTGTGGGTCTGTTGTGATTTGATTTGATTTGCTTGGTTGTCGAAGCACTTTGCGTACTCTTGTTTCCAAAGTTAATATACACTATGTGATACACTTTTTTTGTTAGAGTGAGTTAATGAGCGAGTGAGACAAGTTTAGCATAGATAAAGCAGTCTGTTCATAAGCGTAATAGATGTGAGGTTGTTATAATTGTTTGGGTTGGCTTGGGCTGTGGTGGTGGAGCCCTTCTGATATATTTTTATGGGGGATAGAATTTCTGGTGACACCCCTTAATAAAGGCAAAAAAAAACCACATCACAATATACAGATTTAATAATGTGTGTACAAGGAGAGTGTACATGTACATTATAACTTTGTTTAACATACTTATCATAAAGTCAGTATCAAGGTGTTACTATACAAAAGGTGTTGTTTCATTTAAAGCTGGGGTTCCAAACACCTGAGGCTGTGGTTGTTGTGAGGCGGGACTTCTTCAGGAGGCGGACCGACAGCAGGACTAAGCCCACGCTGACCCCTCCCAGGATGACCACGCCTGAGATCAGAGAACTGGTCACAGGGTTCATCTGGTGGGAGGGGGAACCAGATGCTGGGGGATGGAGAGGCGAAGAAAAGCAGAAACTTGAAACACAAATGATCGACAACGTGACCTGAGATAGTGTCTTTTTTTCTGTTCAGAAAGAGAAGTTGGACCTTTTGGACTAGTGCTATTTTAAACCTTTCTGTGTTTTGTAACATAGCGTAAGGGGGCTTACCAAGTTGGGAGTTGTTGACAGGAGTTTCATCTGAAAAATTCAAAAGAGTTTATTAGAGAAGTTTTTACATTTACAATTAAATCCAACATCTCTGTTGGATTTCTCTCCATTTTCAAATCTCATCTCAAAACACATCTTTTTAAACTGGCATATTCAGTCTGATCATTCTCCACCCGTTCTCATAACTCCTTTACATCCTGTACATTTGTGTTTTTTAATGTTAATTTTATCGTTGTGTTGTTACTTTGTTGTTTTTTATCTCTGCTCTGTAAGGTGACCTTGAGAGCGCCTTTAAATAAAATGTATTATTATTATTATTATTTGTTTAGCAAGGAATAGTTTGACAATAGTTTGGGAAATTTAATTTCTTCTACTAGCTAAGATGGGCTAAGCAAACTTTGTTCTTGAAGCACTTTGAATTGCCTTGTTGTTTAAACTTGCCTTGCCTCAAAACAACCTCATATTATGATTAAGGACGTATCTCCCAGCAAGAAAGTGAAGAGGCATATTTCCAAAAATGTTGAGCCAACTGTCCATTTATTGTTCATACCACTTCTGGTGATGATTGGTCCAGCGGTGATGATGGCGTTTCCAGACGCTGCTGGTGGAGAATCAAGGCTCTCATCTCGCCTACGCCGTCGACCGCAGATCTGCCAACCACATGATAAGTTTCAGCTATCGCTAAGATAAGGTGACACATTGAGTCAGAAACTGAAACTCCAGATTTTCTTAAACTAACCGGTATGAGCATGATGCAGTCGTCTGCGCGGCACAGCTTGGTGACACAGTGCAAAAACACAGTGGACATCTTTTGATGTCTGTGTTTGACAAAGCGGAAAACCTCGAAGGAAAAGCGTCCCATCTGGCTCTTACCATTCTCAAAAACTGTCGTCTGTGGGTCTTTGTAGCAGCTTTGTCAAAAGGTATAACACACAGACATAAGTGCACACGTTGAATATTACTAATGTGTAGAGTTTTGCTTAAGCAGACATGGAGAAGAAAAAGTTGCATTCAGGGGGGATAAGCCATTTGGGGAGCCTGAATAGGTAATGACTCCCTTTTGCTGTTTATCAAGTCATCATTGTAAGGGGGGGGGGGGAGTGAGATTACCCAAAGAAAAGGTCATAGCGGAGTTCATCATTAGGATTCCCCGAGGGGGTCGCATAACAGTAGTCCATCAAGATGTTCCACCTGCAGAAGGACAACACTGTGAGACAGGATGGAGGATAGAGATCTAACTGCACATGGGAAAGTAAGGATCAGGGCTTTCTCTGCCAGACTGGCGCCTTCAAGCAGAATAATACTATAATTGCATAATGAACATAAGCAAACCTTAGAAAAAAAGAACTAAATCTGTACAATATCTACTTCAAAGAAATGATTGTTCCGCAGGCAAAAGGTTTGCTACGTGAACGACATATGTTTAAAGATTTGGGACGCCGGAAAACCCTTTTAAAAGTGGTGAAAATCAGATGTGATGTGATACCGTTTGTCTAAGTTTGTGGCTTTAACAGCAGCAAATACTCGAGTTTTCAGAGCCAGCCCAGCCATCGGGATGGAGAGAGGTTGGTTGTAGGTTGAATCCTGTACAGAAATAAAAGAGAAATAATATAAGGTATTCATTCAAAATTTGAAACTGAATCAATAGAGGTGCTCGTTCATGACATCATGAGTCTTTAAATAGTAAGGCTGGCTCTATTTTTGTTGTTGTCACTTCATCCTTTAAAAAATCAAAACTGAGGTTACTCTGCAAAACTTCTCTTTAACACTCAACACCAAGGTTAATTGTCCCTACAGAAAACGTAACTCAGAAAGGACAGGTAAAAAATGGCCACTGTACTCTTGTAAAAACATTCCTCCAACATGAATAAAGTTTGTTGGGGCTACTTTTTGTGGCGGATTAATACACATCTGATGCTCTTCCTAGCCGTAGTGATAAAGCATTCTGTATTCAGTCAAAATAAACATCAGTGCTGACTTGTGATGAAAGGAATTTTAAACCAGTATCTGCTATTGTCTCTTAATGGGATTTATTGACAATAAGAAAAGTATGAAATCTAACCAGACTTATATGGATTTATCTGCTGACATTTTCTCTAAGTAATTCTAAGTATTTAGCCTTTCAACATGAGCCTTACAATCATTCAGTGTATCCTACAGAATCTAATCATTATGTCCATGCTTTGAAGAAAGAAACGACTTAACACAAGTTGAATGCAGCAGCTTTTACTCACGTTGTAAAGCATCAAACTCAATGTGCTCACAAATGTACCGTTGCTGTCCTTGACGGATACGGCAGCAGAGGAGCTGTGAAGAGATTCAACACATACATTTCAACTCTATATTCCCTTTGCAGATGTTTGCCCAATAAATATGATTTAAAATGTAATACATTATAATCATAAAACGTCCTGACATTAATGAATGTATTTATGAGTTGAGGGAAATGTATGCATATGAGTTTGCATCTTAGTCATTAAGGAAAAATGGCATAATGTAAAATAAATGGCTCTCAGTATAAAATTAGTTTTACACCAGGCGCTTAATTGTTAGTGCAGCTTAGGAGAACAATAAATAATTCTTAATTATTTTAAATTTAATGGAAAAATCCTCCTTTCAAATCATACATAGTGAAAGATTTCTCTGGGATTTGTTTTGGCGGGAACTTACGATGCCAGCTGTGAGTTATTGACCAGGTATTCCAGCGGGTAGCTGCAGCTGAATTTATACAACAAACCGGGCAGGTAGCTTATAATAGTGGGAGGGTCAGGTGTGTCGATATAACCGGAGACATTCCCGATTTGTACCAGAGACATGTTCCCATAAGCGTTGGCCCCGTATGCTGTGCTGACCTGCAGAGAGAAACATCTCAGCCGTGTCATTTTGCTTTCTGCTCGCTCAATAAACAGCATGTTGAGGCTGCTTATTGATTTTATTAAAACCATGTTCTCTGGTTTGTGTATTCTTTACCACCAGGCTGTTTCCGCAAGCCTCCAGAGTGCTCAGGCTGATGCTGAACAGGACCGCCGTGGGGAAGGTGTTGTTGTTGATGAAGCCGCGGCATTGGGAGTCAGTGTGGCGACCGTTCAGGGCTAAATCTGCGTCGGTGTAGCCGGAAAAGAGCACGGGGCAGAAGTTGATCTTTAAGGTGATGGTTTGAACCCCGCAGTACACACTGATATCCCGCTCACCTGGAGGAGAGGAGGGGTTAATGACGTGTTTTTGAACTAAGAAGACAGTCAGAGGTCGTAACAATCTGTGAGTACTGCTCAAACAAAAATCCCTCATGATCCCTAATCCCAAACTGCTTTTGCTAATGCATGGGCCAGAGTTAGGAAGTACTGTTGGTTTTGATAAGCGAAATGTTCCAAAATTAGTATGAAAAGAAAAGTATGCAAATTGAAATCCTGCAGAAAAGATAACAGTCAAGGTTTGCATGTTGCAGCTTTGTTGAAACAGGCTCCAGGTCTTTGTAACCCCGAACACAGCTGCCTTCCTTTCTTTAAAAGCATTTGTCACACATCTCAGGGGTCAAATAGTCCCTGATTTCATGGCAGGAATGATCCCCGTAGGATTCTAGTACCATGAAATCCAGGTTCTTAAAAAAACAAAAAAACAGTGATTGAAAAACAGTGAGCTGAAAAAAAGGCAAGGAAATTGAACGTAGCTTCATCAAAAGCACTGCTGCGAAAGTAAGAGACACGAGGCTGAAGTCCAATACGGACCAGCTTTAAAGGAGGTCTAACAATCAACACATTTTACAGTTTAAATCTTCAAATTAATATCAGTCAGCAAATGGAGCTCAGAGACATCATCAACCAAAGTTAGAAAATCATCCATAAGAAACCTTTTTTAGACAGCAATATATTTAATACCAGAAGATTTGTTTTTCTTAATTATTTGAATGCTCAGTTAACTTAACTCTTTATAACAGTTACAGACTTGTTAAAAGAAAAAGTGTTACCATTTTTTTTTTCTTACTCCATTTTGCCCAAATGATTATGGCTGATTGTTTGTTTATTACAAAAGCATCAAAAATAAGTAAACTAAGATATGTCTTTTTTAGCCAGACTTAGCTTATATCCATTCCTTTAAAATACACCTGTACTATATGCCAAACTGGACAATAATAAAGGACAGGTAGTATAATTACTTAAAACTTCAGTTCAGTATTTGAGTCAATTACACTTTTAATTATCTTCTGGTCACATGTTGTGTTAACTCGTCACCATGAAGTTTTATCAGATGCAAGAGACACTTTTTTTTTTTTTATTAATGTTTTTGTCCAAAAATGTTTAAGCTGAAAAACATAACAAAGCTTTAACCATGAATAATAAATTCTATTTAAAAGATGAAATTTGCCTGAGAATGATTTGTGCGCGTGTACAAACAGTTAATAAATGCCTTATAACACAATTTAAGTCTTGTTCATGTGTTATAGGCCTACTGTACTGTTAAGCATTCATTAAATGCTAACTCATCCATCAAAGATTATTCATTGAAGGAGCTATACTCTGGACATACATACATACATAAACACATTAAAATGTCCTTGTATTTGCTTCATTATAGAGAAGTGTATGAACTATACAGTACAACATGTGCAGAATTCTCACCAGGAAACCTGCTGTGGAAGTTTGCGTCACAGTTGTATCCATTGAACTGAGCGGAGACTGGCAAGGCATTACTCATCAGCAGGACGACAAACAACATTGGCGTCATTTCAGCACTCGAGACAGGTTTGCCCACTGTCATCTTCACAAGGTCAACATGGCATTAATCACATTCCTCGGGTACGTGTTCAGAAACAGCACTTGTCCCTCAAATTAGATGTTCAAAAACAAGGTTCCCCTGCCTCGCCTGTTTCCCCGACTGCTGCACGCTCTGACCTCTATCAGAGAGCTACAACCTTCTTTCCCCAGGTCCCCTAATCCTTCTTATCCTGCTCCCTCTGGCCCCTTTTTACCTCAGGCGCTCACGTTGTCCCAAAACCTCGATTACCCAGCCCCCTTTTAAACAGAGGTCACCCCTCTTTCAAGCTTATTTCATCCCCCCTTCCTCCTCGACCCCTGTTTCTAATTTTTCTTCAATGTTTACCTGCCTCCTGCTTTTTTTTCCCCCCTCACAGTAATTGTTTGGAACCGCTCTTCCCCTTGTTTGAGAAAAAGTTTCAACTGTGGCTGTAGTTTTTTGAGTAGCCAAACTAAACACAGCATCAGGCTTATCTGCTTTGTGTGCACAGATGGGAAAGATAGATTTCCCTAACATTTCAGCGCAGAACATGGGAAACTCTGTCAGATCTGAATGGCCTGGACAAATCTTTTCACAGCGCCCAGAAACCTGAGCACACTCGGAGGGTTCCCACTCATCTCTCCTTGGTCTGATCTCCGTCTGTCAGCTCACAACAACGGTGGGGCCTCAGCAGGAGGGGGGGCATCCCGGGAATTAAGCTGTCATCGGTTGCCGTTGCTGCTCGCATTCACATGAACATAAAAGTCAGCTCACGGTCTGATGCAGGGCTGTGTGTGGGTAATTGTGATGCACAAGGCATCACTTAGAGTAAAGGCTTTCAGTGGTGTGTACAGCTCCAGCACAGTGCTGTGTTAGAGGCTCTTGAGGCTAAAAGAGGAATCTTTGGTCTGTTTTACACTTTTAAACTTTGCCTCAAGATCACAGACTCACCACTGATTTCACGGCAGCCCCTCTAACAAAACAGGAGAAGTATTACTCTATGTTAAACTTGTATCAGGAGAAACAACTACAACTCTTGAGAACATATAGTACTTTTTTTTAACCTCTAAACTGAACTGAAGGATATAAAAATAATGCTTATTGTATCATTGAAATATTTAATTACTGCGTAAACCCCCCAAAACATACAGTTCTTGTCCAGTATTTTGGAACTTCACTGTCCTGTCTGTGATCTATTACCAAGTCCCTTTTTTTAATAAATTTAGACGCACAACTTAAAAAGCACAACAATTACAGCATAAAAAAAAGGCTCAGTTATTTACTAAAAAACCTGGGCACTTTTGTTTTAAGTCAATTTTATAAACAAAGAAATTGCATCCAGTGTTTGAAAATGAAGCCAATGTGGAAGTACAACAGAGTGCAGTTTCTCATGTTACCATTTGAGGCTGGCTCCAAATGCCCAGGAAATCCCATTAGATCCCATATTAAAAGTATGCAATAATCATACAGGAAACCATTTTGGTCTAAATAGCTAATTTCTATTTGTCTACACTGTATGAGGGCTGAATTTATTCATTTTGATTAAGAGACATGCACACATTTAGGTGTGAACATTTCTTTTGTGTAACCTGAAAAAGCTTGTATTATATACATCTGCAGGCCAGCAAAAAGCTCCATCTACTTTCATGGATTAAAAAAAAGTAGTTAGTTTCATCTCTGATGACCTAAGGTCTTTCTGCTACATCTACAGCAGACTGCCTGGATGACAACGGATTGTTTAATCATAACTTTTTAGGTAATAAACAAAAAAAAAAAAATCCCTAAACTTTTTCATAAAGCCCTAAACTTTTTCATAAAGCTTCAACACCATGTTTTAAAGAAAGATATGTGTTAAAAATTACAGATCATTCAAGGCGACCCTTCCTGACTGGTGATCAATATTGGATGACAATGTCAAACTTCAGATGCTGTGATAAGTTCAGAACAAAAAAAATGTTGGATGCGATCCTGTAAAGTTTGGTGCAGAACAGTTGAACTTATGGGACCCTTGACTTTTCATCTGAGTCGATATCAGTTTAGAACAAATGTTTATGCACCTAACAGTTTCATAGTTAAAACAAAGTGCCACAAAGAGGTGCTGGTGGACCATGAGTCTTTGCCCTGTTTACATCCTGATGCCAAAATGTCAAACGAGTGTTATATGGTTGGTTTGTGCTAAGATTGTAGATTGTAGAGTATAGGCACACGTGAGGCACAATAGAAATGTCTCATGGCAAATAGCAAACATTATGAGGCTGAATTTCAATTAAGATGTTCAGTTTCAGGGTTCAGGTGTTATTCTTATATGCTTACTGTCACTGAGTTAAGACATGGTCTCCAATTTCTCTGTCCATGTGTGTTGCACTCAGTCTTAGACCAAAGTTACTAGAAGACAAAAAACTTTCATTTTGGAAATCTACTTACAAATAGTTCTAGTTTTTAAAAAGTAATCAGGATTTTACTGAACGTCGGGGGCACTGAGGTTTTAACCAGCATAACTCTTAAAGGTGTAGATAATGCATATTCTTATAACTTTCTTCACTTGTGAATTTGGTTTGTGCCTTAGTGAGTATGAAATAATCAGAAATGCAATATTCGATGTTCCTATTTTACATTGTGCAGGTGCTATTTCTATTAAGTGTCCTTCAGGCACCCTTTTCGTCTGCTTTGTATAACTGAAATCAGGGAAATGCAGACTTTCTGGACAGTTTGTCAAAAATGTTATCCCTTTTTTTTGTTTATCCATTAGTTTGGATTCTGTCATTGCAACTGGTTAATTTTTGAGGCTCTAGACTAAACTAGTTTGGGGAAAGTGTACAATAATGGTAGGGGGGTCTGGGGACAAATTTTTGCCCTGAGGCACCAGAGCAGGTTGTTTCAGCCCTGTTGGGCAAAGGTCAACTGTTTAAGACCTTATGAATTATTATTATTATTATTTTTTAAACCTTAAACTCAATGAAACAACTATTTCACTAGTGCTAAACACTAACCCTTACATTTATGTCTAGCAAAATAAAAATGAAGTATGGGTAACCTTATATGCTAAAATGGTTATTCACATCCCACCCATCATACAGTCACCCTCATCACACACCTCTCCTGAGCATCTCTCTGCTTACACTCTTCCTGGCCTCTGGCCTCACGTGTCACACTCAGATCCGGACCTAAGCCACTCCCTCTTCAGCTGCAGGTGTTTGTTATTCACTGCTGCTCACCTGCCGTGATGAGGTAGAGCTGAAATCAAATATGAAACGCTTACGAGTAGACATTCAGAGCAAACCGGATCAGGTGGCCACATATACATAAAAGGAATACATCAGGTGAACCCCTTACCATACTCCTTATTTTACAGATCCCACCCTGCAAATGGCCTATTTAGCTAATGTATAGGAATATGCTCTACTTCTGTGCTTGGGTTTCTTTCTTTAAGATATAAGAAACACGTGCTTTAACAGCCAAAACAACAGAAAAATACTTGAAGTCTTGTTTTTCATTGTTGGTTTTCTTCATCATACATTTCCTGATTCCTTGGTCATAAAATAATTGAGGATTACTTTCATTATACTTTATTTTGCACCACAAAGCAGCTCATATGTTGCTGGAAAACATTCTTAATCATACGAACAGTGTCTATTGTAACTCTCTCTCTCTCTCTCTCTCTCTCTCTCTCTCTCTCTCTCTCTCTCTCTCTCTCTCTCTCTCTCTCGAGCTTTGTGAATGCCTCCTGTAGGTCGTGCTGCTCAGAGACTTTTAAAGGCTCATGACCAACCGCCACACGTAGATCTGCCTGATAGAGCTGTCTCTATCTGATCAACCTGAACCATCCCAGACTCAACAAGCAGACATCTAAATCACACAATCTGACCTGCATCACAAAACCCGTGAGAGCACTGCTGTAATCCGACGCTCCAGTTTTAGCACAGGCAGGAAAGTGAAGCCCTCATCAAAGGCCAAGCTGAGATTTGATCCTCGTCGAGCAATGTCTCCAGAAGCAAGAAACCTACTTTTTTTTAACTCCCTTAGAATGCCAATTTTTATTGAGTTCTTATGCAAAATGATTGTTTAATATATTCGACAGATAGCCCAAAAAAAACAGCGCAAGTAAAAAAAGAAAAATAACATTCCAAATTATAATGCATGATGCAGCTTGTTTGAAAACACAAAGTTTGTTCCTCATTCCCTCTGAAAATAAAAATAAATAAAATAGTTTCATTCTAAAGGGAAAAGGTTTTTTGAGAGGCCTCTGTTAGCTCCTTTTGTTCGGCATGAAAAACCTGCAAAAAAATTCCCAGGTGAGAAGAGAAAACAACAGGCTGACTTATTGTTTATGTATGAAACCCGAGCCTGTATTTAGAGAACAACATGTGGGGAGCTCTGCTTCTCTTTTAACATGACCTTGTCAAGGATGTCACTCAGAGGCAACTGCGGATATTGTACCTCTGAAATTGTTCAAATATACACATGCACACACCTGGACTACAAAATGAAGCATTGTGTATGGAATAATGCAGATTTGTCACTTTATCATGTGACAAAAAGCATAAATTGGCACATTTTTTATATGTATTTTGGCCAAATATACAAGCTAAAACCTTGGATGGATTCTTCTGTAGAACTAATACAAAAAGTATCTGACATTTACACTGAAAACATAATTTGTTTGGTTCTAAACATGAACCCACAACTCACAGAATGCATGAAATAAGTTTTTGTTTTGCATTGAGGACAAAAGGGAACCAAATCAGTGAGTAGTGTGCCCCAAAGTTCTGGTACATGGACACATATTGTGACCCGAACTGATACATTAATAAAGGAAACTTGTTGACTAATTTTAAACACACCTATTGATTGTAGTTCGTGATGTTGATGTCTTGTCTGTCTCAGGACCAAACTGCAATAATTTTCCGTGAAAATATTAGAGTAGTCAAAAATGTTCAGATATTGCGGTCACTCACGATTTGTCATTGAGGAGGTGGTGGTGGGTCCAGAGT